AATAAATATGTCTATTACGAATAGTTAGGTACCAGCTGTATTTTATATTCTCTTGTATGTGTATATAGTTTTAAAATGTTTTTTGCTCTAATATAGACAGTAGAATGTAACTGAACACTTTTTGCATGAAAATGTATATGATATATCTTACGAATAAAATGTTATTTTTTCTGAATTCATCCCATTCTATAGGTAATTGGTTTTTAACTGTTAAGTGGTACCCTAAACAAATAAATTATAAATTTCACGGGAATTCAATAGCATTATTGTTTATTTCATTTTTTGTTTTGTGTTATAAATAGCTTCTACACACATATATCTAGGTACAATCAATAACTATGTATTATTTGCATTGATTAATAATTTTTTTATAAAACAAGTACATTAAATGTTATTACTACTAGAAATAAATTATTGTTATTTGGTTTTATTTTTCTTTTATTTACTTTATATAAAAAAAATTTCAGTTTTTAAATGATCTACTTGAACTAAACAAAAATAATGTGTGGCCACGAATTCAGTTGAAAGCATACAGTTTCAAAACATATATCTACAATAAAAAAAAGTTTTAAATCCTAAATGAACATATTGTCATTTCTAGTAAAACACGTTTACAATACAGTGTATAACGAAAGCTTAACATAAATGAAAAAAGAACACTGTTAAATAAATTTATTTATTAATCATGCGAATAAATTATCTAAATTATTAGTTATTGTGAAATTATTGTGCATAAATGTTAAACATAAATACGAACCCTTTCAAACCGTATGCCATTGAGAATGGAGTACCTACCCCTCTCCCTTCACGCCAAACGTGATGACCCGGCTTATACATACCAAAATATATTCTCTAAGAATTTTATTATTTCTTCTTCTTGTACATTTCCTCGTCTAGGCCCCTACTGTATTAGTATGTTTAAATTACTTCTTCTATTTCATTAGGGAGTGGTTCAGTAGTACAGTATTAACAAACATTTCAAATGACATGACTGACCAGTGGTCACACTGATTTGTCCTTCAAGCTTCTGGTCATTCTGATTTGGGCTTTGGGGTTAGCAACTTGAAGCATGTGCTGCTAACCAAAATCGAATTTTATTTCGGATCTTTTAGTCCCATACTATAATCAGAAGTCTGATATCACATTTTGTGGATTTTTCTTGTCTTACCTCTTTTTATCTTTCGTAAAGGCCAACCAACACCACATGGTAAGTTTTCTGTGATTTTTGTCTTTCATTTTATTCTTTCCAATGCTTTTGTTTATACTTTCCATTCTCTCTTTTAGGCCTTCTTATTTTGAGCTAGTAGTCTTTTACTGTAAATACAATAAATACATCTTACGTAGAACCAAACTAATTGGAAATAAACCTACCTAATCGCTGCTACAGCCCTGGCTTTTCATAAGGTACCGATAAAGGTACATTCACACTAGGATTACCGCATGTTATCATCACTCTGCATGGAACACTGGAATACCAAGTAAGACGGTTCATATTTAGCTATACTTGTTCTTTGTTCTTTACTTTTCGGCTACTTTACTTGACTAAACTGCATGTTGAGGCTTGGACTTTTCTTTATTGCAAACTAAGTACCACTAACACTTTGTAATCAATGCTACTATGATTTTATTTTGTATGATGAACTATCCAGTAATATAGGCATTTAAAGGGTTCTACCGAGAATACCGATCAAGGAGAAGCGACAGCTTGGTGTTTTCAGTGTACCGTTTTGTAACGCGCATGTGCGAAATTAAGTTGTGTATCACTCAAAATTATGTTATCTGTCAAAGTCAGTCCAAGTTGTTTAGTACGTGAGCAATGTTAAGTGATATTTTTTGGTGTTTGTTTTGTGTAGTAATAAGACGAAGATTTTTACACACTTAGGTATTCTAATACAGATATAAAATATGCCCAAAAAGTTATTAGGAAACTAAGAATTTTATCACATGCATAAATATTAAGTATAATGATTTAATCATTTTTGACATTTTATTTTTCATATGCAGGTATTGTATTTTGTGAAATATATGTTTTTCTTCTTTTAAATAAATTTAATAAACAATGAACTGCAGATTTTGTTTATTTTATTTTGAAATTATATTTAAAAAAATATAATAAATTCACGTGTTTTAATTAGGATTGGTCAAAGTGGCCGAAATCCCTTTATTATGGCTAAATTGTAAGTTACAATTATGTCAACATAAAGATGTTTTGCCCATTCATATTTACATTTATTGAATGAATCATACTCGAGTTGATTTTGGAAATATTGGTGCATACTTAAATAAGTACTATTTCTAAAAATTCGTCTATGTACACATAGTCCAATGGACGTCCACTTTAGATCTATTTGAGGGCCAGGACGTCCATATCCGGGCATCCAGTGTACGTCCGTTTATGCTAATTGACAGCTGAATACCGATACCCAGAGAACGTCTCTTTTTGGACTTAATTTTAAGTTTAGTAGTATTTTGACGTCCAGTGGACGTCCATCTTAGGTCATTATTTATTAAGCCTACCAGATAATACCCATTTATATATACTTCTTTTTTTAATATAACAGGTCTTTAAAAATTGACAAATTAAATCTATTGCATTTCATTCTATCAGCGGAAGTTTGAAATCTTATTCAATTATAACTGTATCTAGTAAAAAGTTTTCAAGTGGTTCCTTGGTAGAGCTCGTCTAGCGATTGAAAGCGTAAAACGATAATGGATGTGTCGTGAGTTCGATTCCTGCTCAGGTGAAGCGATTTTTAATAAAAAATAAATAAACGGTGTATAACGGTTTGCAAAAATAATAAACAAATTATTAATAATATAAAATAGTGTGTGGTGAGTTGCGGTTCTGTAAAAAAAGTGGGGATGTGGTCTCAATGGAAATATAATCCTGGACGTTTTTTGAATGTCCAGTATTCGACGTCCAAATATATTCCATAATTATACGTCCTCTAAATGGTCAAAAGTGTGCCATTTGTATACTTCACTGGATGTCCATTGGATGTCGGAAGTTCAGAAAACTAATTTTTGGACGTCTAGACATCCAAAATTATATATCGAATGGAGTCCAATGGACATATTTGTATTGTCTGGGTGATAGCCAGGCCAGGTATTTAACTCTAAATACATAAACCTTAAATGACATCTGGTTTAACTTGGCGAAGAAAACACTTGTTTCTACAGAAATGAGTGATAAACTGGAAAGTCCTTTTAATATAACATAAATCTAGAAATTATAAAAATATTTAAGTACTTTTTAAACCTAAAAGCTTTGAAAATATATGCACATTGCAAATATTTAGTTAAACCTCTCAAACTTAATGTCTTTTTAATTGTTACCTAAATTTTTTTTGGCACCCTTAATTTTATTTACCTTATTTTTACTTAAGGAAAAGGTAATTTAAACATGGGACTTTTAATACATTTTTAACAATAAATAAACCAAATATTGAACAAATTTTATAGATAAATTATAAAATAATAAATGTTTTTTACTTTTATAACAAATAATTAATTATTACATAATGAATTATATTTTGGTGCCGAAATTTCACCATTGCTATTAACCCTAACTACTTCAATGTAATTAAATCACATTGCAACATTTGCGCATGGACTATAACAATAATTTCAGATAATTTGCCAAACTATTTCGCTCAGTGTAGAAAATAAGCATGTTTTCTCAGCGTGCTAAGTTGTGTATCAATCAAAGTCATGCTGTGAAAAAGGTACATCCGATATCAAAGGCACCGACAGCTACTGTCGCTTCTCCTTGATCGGTATTCTCGGGTTCTACTCTTGATTGTATTGCGATTTATGCAAGTATATTAGTTTAGTTTTTTAACCGACTTCAAAAAAGGAGGAGGTTATCAATTCGTCGCGATATTTTTTTTTTTTATGTATGTTCAGCGATTATTCTTTAACACGGTGTCCGATTTCAATGATTCTTTTTTTGTTAGAAAGGGGGTATTTCAGGGGTGGTCCCATATAAATTTAGTCAAAATCTAATAATTGGGTCCATGAGAAAATCCTCAAACTCTTCATTTTTTATGTATGTTCAGCGATATTTTTTTAATACGGTGTCCGATTTCAATAATTCTTTTTTGTTAGAAAGGGGCTACTTTAGTGGTAGTCCCATATAAATTTGGTCAAAATCTAATAATTGGAATAATGAGAAAATCCTCAAACTCTTCATTTTTTATGTATGTTTAGAGATAATGCTTTACCACCTTGTCCGATTTATACGATTTTTTTTTGTTAGTAAGGGGGTACCTCAGGGGTGGTCCCATATGAATTTGGCTAAGATGTGGTGATGGCATCTGCCCGTTTTTGAAGTCGGTTTTTTTGAATTTTTAATTCGTAATACTTGTTCATCATAAATATTGTTAACGGTTGGTACCAATTGAAGCAGTAATATCATCTATTGTGCATGAATTTTAAATTTATATCTGTCAATATCTTACTTTAATTTAAACTTTAACCTCTCTCTTCTGTAGTTGAACTATAACCCATAATTATACCATTTAATTTTTCTGGAATTATACCATTTTATTGTTATTCCACGACGATGATAATTTCAAGTAAATTTTAAAGCTAGTCTAGCTACAACTGTTAGGAGCATCACAAGTACCTAACATATTGTTATTCTAATTTGCTAACACCCTGTATCTGAATCTAAATCAAAATCCGTCGTTACATCAAAAACTTAAACCTGAATCATGGAGGCACCTGGATCTGCGAATGATCCTAGCATAATGGCGTTGTCTGACAAACCCCTTCCTCTTTGTGGAAAGCCCTAACCCGTACAGATTAATGTCTTTTAAAATGTCTTAATAATATATGTATTTTATATCTTTGCTAAAATCCAACATAAACAAGGGATGGTCAAGGGTTATAATTAAGAAAGATATGTATGATACATACATAAGTAATGCTTTAAAAAAACTAGTAATATATGTTCTATATTTTTATTTTTGTCAAAATTTCATATAAAATAATTTATATTACAATCTACCTTTAAATAGATATACCTTTTTTGGCAATTTTGGTGGTTGCTTACTCAAAAGTGGCACAATAGGAGAATTTTTCGGAAGAAGGTGTTTTTGTGAAGTTTGCTCTTTTTTAATCTTCTCACCAGCCTCGTCGAAAACAATATTGTAAATGTCTTGTTTGGGAGGTGTACTGCGAACAACAAGTTGAAGTTCATTATTTCTCTGAATGTTAGCATTAATGTCGTCTTTATTTTTTGGCTTAGACTGTAACATCTTCTGAATTATTTCTTCAACGTTTACATTAGTGGAGTTATTTGAAGTATCTTCTCCAGAAATATTCGGAACCATTTCTATTGACGAACTTACTATTATATTTTTATCTGTATTTGCAGTCTTATTACTTTTAATCTCAAGATGTTTTTCTAAAATTTCCTCTTTTTTCTGAATGTCACCCTCAACTTCTTTAACTCTTGGAATCAACTTCGATGAGTCCTCATATTGTTCTTTAACATTAATTTTCTTTAGTTTTGTTTCTTGATTGCTAGTCACAGTGTATGTAGAGTGAAATGAAGTAACCTGTCCAGAAGTAGTTGGTACAATTTCTAAGGTTGAGCTGTGTATTCTATTTTTGTCTATAGTTGCAGTCTTATTCTTTTTAGTTATCAAAGATAACGGTCTTTTAATAGTTACATTTGAGAAGAAGTTTTCTTTTGGTTTGTATTTTAGCGCGGGAAATTCTGAATCATCTAGTAATGGCAAATTTTCGCCTTCCTCTTGTTTATCAGGAAATTTAAAGGAATCATTTGGTGTTATTGGTATAAAAGAGTAACTTTCATTTCCTGACCAAGTAAAAGGTGTTACTTTGTCCATTCTTTTAGACTTGTTGAAGGAATTTTTATTCCATGACTCAAGAGGAGGCATAGCAATTCCCTCCATTTCGAAATCATCTAAGGAAGTTTTATTATGTGACTCAAGAGGAGGTATAACAACTTCGTCCATTCTTTTAGGCTTGTTAAAGGAATTTTTATTGTGTGACGACTCAAGAGGAGGTATAACAACTCTGTCGATATCGGAATGGCCTAAGGAAGTTTTATTATGTGAATCAAGAGGAGGAATAATAATTCTGTCTATTTTAGAATAGTTAAAGACAGTTTTATTATATGGCTCCAGAGGAGGTATAACTTTATTGATTTCAGATTGGTTGAACAAACTTTTATTTTCTGAATTGGAAAAAGGTATGACTTTGTTAATCATGACAGGCTTATAATTTTTTCGAGTTTCTTTTTTGATGGGTTTTCTTTTCGCTATCGTTGTAAAAGAATAATTTTCTGCAAGAGGACCGAAATGAACATTTCCATTGTTATCAGCAACAAAGTCTTCGTAGAAAATATTGGAAGAAGGGGTTTTTGATAAAGATGGACCTGTTAAAGATTCAGCATCGATGATTTCAAACGAGGAATTATTTGGATATAACAGAGGAGCCAAAGAATAAGTTGACTGACTATCTGTCGATTTTAAAGAAATATAGGATTTTGAAATTTGATTTGATTCTGTGCCGCGAGAATCGATTTTTGCTGTTACGTTTGAGATTTCGGTTGGAACAGGGTTAGATTTTGTCGGTGCATATTTTGATACCAACGTTTCATTTTCCACTTGATCTGCTTGTGTACGTGGTTTGGGTTTTCTTAAAGTTTTGCTTCTCTTCGGTTTTGATAAAATATTAGATTCATTTTTTATTCTTAAATCTGCTAAGTTATACATGACTTTCTTAACAATTTCTTCTATCAGGGCATTTTCTGTTTTTTTATCAATTCCTCTTGGAGCAACAGTTTCTTGAATATTACTATTGGTTTTAGGTTTACGTAAACCTTTTTTTTTGAGATTTGGTTTAGAATCTTCTTTTTTGGTTTGCTGATTTATTAGATTTTTCCAAAAGTTTGCGTATTCATCATAGGGTACATTTAATGGAGATATTTTTCTCTTAACTTGCATATCGCTTTCTTTATTTAGTTGTAGGTTAAATAATTTTTCTCGATTGTTATTTTGAGACAGAACGAAATTTCCAATAGATAAGTCTTTAGAATTATATTCAGATTTCTTCTTCATCTGGCAAATTTGGTTTAGAGTTTTTTCTCTTTCGTCTTTGATTTTTCGAAGTTGCATAAGGTATTTTTCTCTGTCAGACTTTAATTTTTGTATGTAACTTTCTCTAAGAAGCTTTATTTTTTGTCTTCTTTTTATCTCCTTTTCATTGTCGCGTATTTGGTTAAGTTCTGTTCTATATTTCTCTTTAATTTCTTGCATTTTCAAGAGATGATTTTTTCCAGCAATTTTCCATTTATTATCGAGTTCTTCAAATCTTCTCTCGCATTCACTTTTACCGTTTTCATTTATTGATTTTTGTAAACTTTCAACGGTTGTTTTATTGTTAGTAGATTTCATAAATTTAGATGTTCCATTGCCTGCCTTTAGAGGCGTTTCTAATGTAACGTTACTTTTCAATTGTGGTGCACTAGGGGTTACATTAAAATTTGTTTTCACTGAAAGAGGTTTAACAGTTTCTGCAGACACAGCTTTTATTTGAGTTTTGGGCTTTTCGGGCTGGCTCTTCTTTCTGGGCTGTTTTTTAACAATTTTTTCGCTTGGCTTTGTTTTTTTCTGGTCCTTTGTTAGTGTAGGTTGGTTGAGTTTTTCGTACATACTTTGTTTTTTCTCCAGTTGATTAACTAATCTTATTAAGCAAACATCCTGCATTAAAGTACATAGGAAGATATGAAGACTAGGATTTGTACAGACGTCTTTTAAACTACTTACAAGTGATGATGTGGTAGTTTTAATATCGTCAAAGGTATATGTGTCGTAAATAAGAGCATCATTGTTTAATCTATCGGTGGGTTCATTTTTGAAAAATTCTTGACTGTTGAAATTTAAAAAGGATTCGGAACTATTCGCTATGCACACTTCGTCATCCGGTAAACATTGTCTTTGGAAAATTTCTGGATTATTTGATTTGTAGTTGTCATTATTTATTTTTTGAATTAACTCTGCAGTATTATTGATAGTTTCGTGCAGATTTTTGGAATTTCCTTTTATTAATTCTAGGTAATCTACTTGGATCTTTTCCAAAGGCTTTTGGTCTTCTTGATTAGGTAATAAACAGCAGAGGAGAGTTATACCTGATAGGGCAATTATGGAAGCAGCTATTGATAATGCTGTAAATGCGTCTGTTACCCTTTTATTATTTGTTAATTTATTGTATGGTTTTTTGATATTTGATTTTGAGGTCTTTTTCTTCGTTCTTTTATTAAAATCGGTGTTATCTGGCATGTTAATATTAATGCAAGCATTATCTTCACTTTTACCTGGCTGTTCTTCTGGTATATCTATGTAGGCAGATTCAATTTTTTGTTCGTCTATTGGTTTTTCTTCAGCTATCTCCTCGCACTCCTGTAAGCTGATATTTTCTATAGAATTGCTTCTAGAGTTTTCACTTTCGCTGATGATTTCCCACGATGACTTTGGACTCACATCAGCTTCATCTTTAGATGGTGTTTGGCCACTCATAATTTTAGTGAAAAGTAAGACGAAAAATTTTGACTTTAGATAATTTTAAATAGGGAGTGACAACTGCCAAACATTTTTCATGGTGTAGTGATGGATTTCGATAATGTCGTAGCCAATCAGAATGCGTTGTGAACGAAGCGATGTTAATATTCTTTAAGCTAAATACTATGTTAACTATCTTGTTTTGGTTGATCACTTGTATAGTTATTCTTATACAAATTCCATTCAACTCGAGATTTCATCCCAGTAGTTACTAAATCTTGTCAGTATATTTTGACAGTTTGTGTTCATTATTTAAGGATAAGGATTTAGAAATGTCAATATTTTAATTTGACGTTTTTAAAGGCTCCATTAACAGTAACTTAAAAATATATCGGTAATATTTTTATTTAAATAATAAATAATCTGATGCTGCTGTTTTAGCAAGTACTGTCCCCCACAATAGTGTATATATGGGGCCTTACGAGCTGTAGTGGGTTTAGTCTCCTTAGAATGTATGATAATTATGATTATGTGTCTGTTGTTTGTTGCCTGTAAGTTTGGTGTTTTAATTGTTATCCACCTGTTTACTGACTCGATCAGAGGTTTTGCTAATCCCAAATATAGATTCTTGTCCTGTGAAGGGTAGTTTTGATTTCTGTTTAACGGCTCCATCATCCTTTTGATTTCATTGAATACCTTTATGTATTGGTTCCTACGCCAGTTTTACCTTCTTGTGAATTTCCAAATTACTATATTCCAAGGCAGTTCCAGACTAGCTAAATTATCTCTTTCACACAACTTGATTGCGTGGATTTCATTTTAAAGTAGAGAGTTTTTCCAATGAGATCCTGTTTTCTTGCTAGCTTTAGATCAAAGAGTATACCATACGAGAACCATAAACACTAATTATTTATCTCCTTGATTTACCTAGTTCCAGTTGCATTCGACATAAATGAGTCTGTTGAAGGTTAGACGGGGTGTCATGTGGTCTGATCCCATCTGTTATATGGGATCATTTACTTAAGGCGTTATTCTGGTATATTTTATATTTCTTAATGGGTTCCAGTTGTTGTAGAATTATTTTCATAGGTGTACTCCTATATTATTCCTTTAAGTGTAATGAGAGCTGTTTTCTAGTTTACTTTTGGCTATCGAACAATCGTTTCATTGGTAATCATGGGTCTTGTAGATGCCGAATATAGCCAGTGGATTATTTGCGGTTTAATCCCTATGTTTTCCAAACTGCATTTTTTCCTACAATGAGTAACATTATACATTTGTTGACCACTTTTTGCAAGTGATGGTTTCAAGTAAGTATGCTATCCAGAATTAGACCCACATATTTTACTTGGTTTGTTCTTTTTGTGCCTTGTCAGAATTTACCAAGAGGGTTTCTTTGCACAGCCTTAGAGCTCTCTCGGTTGGTGTTTCTCTTGGATAAGAATAACTTTGTCTTCGATATATCCAAGGCGCCCGGACCCTGAGTGTTCTCAGCAGTTTGTCTGTCACTAGGTTCCACAATAGAGAGGAGAGGACTCTATGGACATACCCTGTAAATATTCAATATCATACGTAGACAACATATATACAAACAGGACGCGATGCTTTTGCCGTTCAGGTTTCTAAACCTAAAAAAAGTTAATGAAAATATCCTACCTGTTATTTGGTCGGCGATGTTATAACCTACTAGTAACAGACCCCTATAACACAATGCATTTAAAAATGGATTAGGAATATGAATGCGATCAATAGTAACACGGGAAAAATGACTTTATGTCAAGTTAAAAAATTCATAATAGATCTCGTATTACTCGTATTATTTTCATGAATCAAACTTTATTTAGGAAAAAATCCGATATAAATAATTATAATACGAGAAATAAAAATGAAATTTATATCCGAAATGTAAGACTTGTAAAATTGTTTAATTATCAAGGATCACATCTTTATAATATCATACCTAATGATTAAAAAACATATCCTTAAATTTATTTAAGATGAAAGTGACTAAGTTGCTATCAAAAATAACTCCTTATACTCTAGAGGAGTTTCATGAGCATTTTAAAGGCTAAAACCTTTATGATATGTCTTATTGTCTTTATTTTAGGTATATTGTACCTAATTTTATATAGGTACATAGTAGTTCTCTGTAATCTCACCCGACCTGTCCAAAGGGCTTTATTTTATTCATACCAAGAACCAGCAAAGGCATTTATTTATAGCATTTGCTAGTCAAACAATTGCTCTAAATACTTCAATTTTATTCATTAGGTAAAATGTTTTTGTAGTCTTTTATGTTTTTGGAATTCCCTTTTAGTGCTCACCTTTAATATTTAATTTTTGTAACATTCCAACATGGTCTAAACTAGTTGGGTTTTTTGTGGTACTGATTTGGTGTTTTAATTTATTCTATAAATAGAAAATTATAGTTTAAGCTTTTCTTGATCTGTACATAAAGGTAATAAAACTTTTTCCTACCTTATCAGGTGTATTGTTATCTCTAGGCGAATGCGACGGTGGAGAACAATTGTTGATTGCAGGTACTCCTAATTCGTAAATGTTCAACATATGGGCGGCTTGTGCGTGTACCATGAGGTCCCAAGCATTTTGAAAAGCGTCTTTACATTGAACACAAAGTAGTGAAGCTGAAGTATTTGGATCATCAGGAGATTCTGAAAAAAGGTAAGAAGGAATAGAATTAGAGATGTCGCGAGACGAGAGATTTTCTTGAAATTATATTCGAGACGAGACCAATTTACTTTTTGCTTGTTTAAAATTTTCAATTGCTTATCGTAACTTAAAATTTAAACATATCAGGTTTCCAATGTATTTCTCATGTCTTTTATTTAAAATTAATTTTAAAATGACAGCTAAAGGAAGTTTTTTTATCGACTTTAAATTAAAATTTCAAACGAAAAAGATTATATTCATCGTCAGTAATTAGTTAAAAGTACATATTTAAAATAGTTATAAATAATTACTTTAAAAAGCCGATAAAACTGCATTTATAATTTTTTTTATTACAACTGTAATAGGTACTACTAGTTCTTTCCCCGGAAGAAGAAAAAAACCCAGACAGGACCACAAAGTTCTGTCTGGGAGAAGCTACAAAGATGCAACTACGAGCCACCTGAAAGTAGCTATAATAGACAATGATAACCCTTACGGTAAGATAACTACCGAAAGAGAAATCCTTGTCAAAAAGACATTGATGGGAGAGCTGGACAAAACAATTTTGTCTGCCTCCTGCAGCAAAACCAAGCCACTACCTTCAGGTCTTGGACGCACTCTGGTGAAATCATCAGAGTAACGTGCGACGATGACCTGACGTTAAAATGGCTAAAAACCAAGGTACCAGCCTTAAAAACATGGGAAGGAGCAACACTCGTTGTTGTAAGGATGGACGAGCTCCCCAAGCTCACCAAAGCCTCTATCTAGATCCCAGTGGAAGCGCAAGCTGATCCTGACGAGAAGAAAGTTGTGCTCAGGCGACTTAAGGGGCAAAATCCAAACTTACATGTGGCGAAATGGTGCACCTTTCACCATGAAATAAAAACAGACCCCAAGGGCCATCTCTTCATCTTCGGCATCGGAGACGAAGACATGGGAATCCTAGAAGCCAAATCAATGAGGATGAGCTATGCGTTCACTTCATTGACTATAGGGCCAAAGGTCAAAAAAGAGGCTAAAGCGGGGCCCAGTAAAGACTCCTTGGTAAAGGATCCTCTTCTCCCCCAATTCAAGCCAACAGTGGAGGACGTCGAGCCAGAAAAAATGACAATTGATGACCTCCAGCATGAAAACTTCGAGGAGCCACAAGAGATCACCCCTTCTTAGTCTCACTCCCCTTGATATTTACATCAATGAGGTGCTCTGATCACAATGACACGACTCCGCACGTTTGGAATAGAACCTGATGTAGGACCTGGTGAGGCGAGATGTCACTTTTGGCAGGAGGCGCTCGATACGCTCCCACTGCTTCAAGCGAACATGGACTTCATCTCACCGAGATATATCTTCCGTAAGCCATATAAAGTTATAATAGAACAAATAGAAGAGCCGGAAGTGGCAGGTACGATTCATATCTACACCGACGGTTCTAAAACAAAACAAGGCTCAGGATGTGGAATGTACTCTAGATTCTTAAACCTAAACATAAAAGTTATAATAGAACAAATAGAAGAGCCAGAAGTGGAAGGTACGATTCATATCTACTTCGACGGTTCTAAAACAAAATAAGGTTCAGGATGTGGAATATACTCCAGATTCTTAAACCTAAACATAAAATGGGCATGATCAGTAGTGCCAGTGTAGTTTAAACAGAGCTAACTGGGATTCTTATAACAGCAGAAGAAATAACCAGAAAAATATCACTGGAAGGAACATGCTCATCTACACAGATAGCAGACAAGCATTACTCACCCTGAACAGACCACGAATTTATTTAGGGTTAGTACTAGAATTCCACGAAGCTTTGGCCGAAGTATCCATCAACAATGTGGTCACCTTAAGATGGATCAAAGGTCACGCTATATCGAAAGGTAACCGTCTTGCTGATTCACTAGCCAAGAAAGCAGCCAACCAAATATTTTTTGGACCTGGCCCTTGTATTGGCCTGACAAAATCGGTAGTGACAGACCTAATTAAAGAACATTCCCTTGTGCAATTCAAGGAAAGATGGGATAAAACAAGAAACTACAGAGTTGCCAGGGAGCTCTTAAGTTATCCTGATAACACTGCAGCAAACATTTACTTGACTATGACTAGACAGAATCTGCGCCTAGTCACAGGCATTTTGACTGGTCATTGCCAAGTACGGCAGCATCTCCATATCATATCAGAATCATATCATGTCAGAATCCGCACTCTGCAGAGGGTGCTAACAAGAAGATGAGACCATCGAGCATATCCTTTACGATTGCTCGACGCTCTCATTTATTAGTTAATTTGTGTTCGGCGAGTATCGACTAACACCAGCCGATATAAGAGAAGCACCTCTTGGCGACGTTGTCAATTACATTACATCTGTAGGCTGGCTCACGAGGAGGATGCACAATGGGCCTAATGAGGCCTAAGTACCGTGAGGATAACCCACCCTCCACACGTTACATATACTATTCGTTATCTTAGTATCTTGTAAGTTTGTATTTTAAACAATTTTGAAATCATTACTAACCTACCCAAATTAGGATAATTTTATTTTTGGTTCATTCTCTAATTTCACAAAAAAA